ACAGTACTCAAATAAATTTTTTTTTTTAACTCCATCAAAGATCGGTATTGCCGATCCATCAGGAATAGTATTTTTGCGTGTAATTCATGTGATTTTTAAATTTTCACATACCGGGTACTTTGGTCAGTGCACTACGGTATTTATCAATTTAAATCATAAAACTAATGAATATTGGATAGAATTTTTCTACTAGTACACTTATTCTGTAAAATGTGTGCTATTGCCACCCCTCGTTAAATACCCACACCGTCAATTTAGTCAAATTAATAGTATATTCCGGTTCCAAAAGGATACTAAGGGGCGTAAGACCTGGAGTGCTATTTTCCAAAAATTACGATATTATTTATAGGATCGTTAAAAATTTATGTGAATATCATCTAGTTTATGGCTTAGCGATCTTTATTTGCGTTATTGTGTTGTATATAGCATGAAGTAAAAGCACGTGAATGCATATTTTCAATTCTTCTAAAGAATATCTTTATTATGAGTAGTATCGATAAGCTTCAGATTTTTTTGAGAACTACTACGTGTAACGTAAAATTCTATCGCTTCTCAAAAAAGGTTTCAATTAGTTCAAATATAAATTATTTATAACTCGGGGTCCAGCAATTTTTAAATTCGTTAAACTCTCTTTCTGAGATGACAGTTTTGGTAATATATTTTGTCTAAAACAGATAAATATTTAGCTACGATTATTTTAAGAGTTTATCTTCAGCCATTATTATTTTTTAAAAAAAATTTCAACTTCATTACTATCGGTTAATGCAGATATGTGCAGTTGGATTAATTTCAGCCAATCGCTAAAAAGTCTCAAATTGGATGTTCCATTAACGTTAATCAGGTTTACAATAGCTAAATATACAAGCCGGGTCAAGCCGATAACACATTCTCCGAATGACTCGGCTAATTAATTACCTAATAATTATATATTTTTTGCATATTATTAATAATACTATTAATATGATACAATCGGTCTTTCATAGCAATAAGATTTATGAATGTTCACACAGTCGCTCCTTTAAAACATATATACCGAGATAAAAATGACAACGCAATTCCAATCTTTCCATAGTTCAACACCATCGCAATTCAACGAAAAAGCACCTTCATTGTCTAAACTGAAAACAAAAAATCTAAAGAATGAATTAGTTATAAAATTAGTTGAGCCTACTGTAATATTCCGTGGAGATCCACAAGAAGCTCCCGGTGTTTTTTTAAGAGGTGATCTGATTTTAAATTTAAGTAAACCAACAAATATTAAAGGAATTGAAATGGAATTTGTTGGAAAATCAAAAACTTTTTGGATTTCAGGTATCTATTATCTAAAACTTGCAATATCATTATGTTAGCATTTTTTGAACCTTGATTCAACTTTTTAACTTTTTAATGCATTTGTATATATACATTTGAATAGACGATGTTAGACAGGAACGGAATATTCATTCTGAAAAACGAGAAATTATATCTCATAAATGGCAATTTATGACTCCACACGTTAATGAATCTTCAATACATGAACATTCACGTCATAGTATTCTCGGTATAAAACAATTATCATCTTCGCCTCATGATCATACAAACATAACCCCGTCGGGTACATATACATTTCCTTTCGAAATTTTACTCTCAGGAAACCTTCCAGAGACTATCAACGCAGACTTAGGATATGTGAAATATCGATTATCTGCACAAGCGCATCGTCCAGGTTTATTACCGAAATTATCAAAAGAAGTTGATATTGAAGTTATTCGAATTTTACCCGATGATTTCGACTCAGAAGGAATAGCTTTGTCAAAAGATTATGAAGATATATTAAACTATGAGATTTCAATTCCAAAGAAATCTTATCCTCTTGGACAAGCCATTCCGATAGAAATTAAACTAATTCCCTATATTAAAAAATTAAAGATTCACGGAATAACTATTAAGCTTTTAGAGACCACCGCTTACAGTGCTCAAAATGAAATTTTCGGGATCACCAAAGTTTTGGCAACACTTGACATTGAAAATCTAGTCCATGATAGTCTACTACAAGATGTAGATGAAGGCGATATAGGAAATACAAGTTACCAAAGTAATTTTAATTTCCAATTACCTAATTGTATTAGTAAAGTTAATTATTCTTGCAATACGCCTTTGATTAACGTGTCGCATGTATTGGAGTTCTCTATTATTGTTACTTTACCAAAAAATGAGACTAGAACAAAACTACGAGTAGAATGCGACATTAATTTGGTTTCATGTTTAGCTGCTAGTCAAAATTTTACTTTACCAAAATATGAAGAAAGTTTGTTGTTCTGCCCTTGTAATCCTGAATATCAACGAATTGCAAGATTAGTATTAGGTGATACTGCAAATGACTGTGGTTGCCATAGCGACGTAGGTGTAAATGGGAATTCTGTATCAATGTCGGCAATGCATTGTAATTGTGGTAGCTGTGGAGATAACTGTAAATGTTTACCTCCAAATTATGATGAAGCATAACTGTAGAAAAGAACAGGATAGGAATTAGTTTTTATGATACTCTTAAGCTTTAAAGTTTTATTATGCATGTATTTATTAAGTTTATCCAAGAGCTCTTTTCATTTTACTTTACAATAATATCTATGACAAATACCGGTATTTATATATATTTATGTATGTGGCAGTTTTTTAGAATACAGTCAAAAATCTGTCACATCATACTTTATGAACTATTTTATGCTAGGGTGCTAACTGTAGTATCTTAAAAATGAAACGAAATTTCATTAAAGTTTTTGAACCGAGATTATTAGTTTTTTTTTTTTTTTTTTTTTAATTTTGTTTAAGGTGTCACGAATGTTTGTTCAGAGGATGCTAACTTTATGTCAGGAAAATGAGATCCACCGTATGCAGATATTGGAGCCTCGAAAAATTATGTTAATTAATTTCGCGCGTTATTTCTAGTCACATCTATAATAATCGCTCAATTCATAGTGACATAATACTGTAGAGCACTTCATTAAGTATAAATCAACAACACCTTAACTTGATTTTTAGCCAGGGATGCCATATGACGATAATTGATGTTTAAGTAGATGTTCGTTTTTATTGGGTGTAAGTATATATGGGTGTCTAAATTACTTCTCTTAATAAAGAATTATTTCGACATTTAGTCCGTCGAAATTAATTTTTCTTAGTGGCGAAATTAATTTTCATAGTTGTTGAAATGTTAGTGAAATTATTTGCCAGAATACATAGTTACTTTGTGAGTTCATATAAACAACTAGCAATATCGAAATGTTTGTTGGAATTACTTTTTTTAAAAAATAATTTAGACACCCATGTATACGTTTAAGTAGTCTTGCAGACCTAGCAACCGCATAAAATGTCCGCAGGCACGTGACTTCAAACAAAACAAACTGCCGACTTTTTCAAAGAATCGCCCATAACTCAAATTTTTTTCTACATGCAATATTCTTTCAACTACCATCCCAATGCTCACCCTTACCAAGGGTTGGCAATGGAGCCAATGGAGAACAATGGTTATGCGAATGGAGCTCAAAAAACTAGTATCCATTGGCGCTCCAGGTTCCATTCGCAACTCCATTGGGCTCCATTGAACTCCATTGCCACCACTGCTCTTACCTTAACGTCAAAAGTTAATTTTTTAATCGAAAAATACGTTGACGTTCTGCAGCCAATGAAATTTTGAATTTTTATGCGGTTGCTATGTATAATATACGTACTCAGGTAGTGATTATTTTTCGCTGTGCGGACTGTGCGAAACAAAAATTTGCGCACATTTTCTTTTAGACAAATGTGTGGATGCCGCACAGAAAAAATTAACATTTTGTAAGTAGTGCGCACATTTGTAAATAGTTTTTCTTTATTTGTCGCACAGAAAAGTTTCCAAATTGTGCGATGTCCGCACAATAAATTTGAATTGAAAAATTAACACTGTACTCAGGTATAAATCAGTGAAATATACCGGGCCTTAACCTGGGTACTGAATATTTAGGGATGTGAAAAGTTCGGTCCGGTCCCAACTCGACTCCAGAAGTCAAGTCTTAATTTGTACTCGGTCCCAAGCTGACTTGGGACTCTGTCATGTGAAATACGTGACACCACATTATTTAAGTAATACAAGGTTCAAACTTTGAATCTTGTATTACAGTATTACTTGAATAAATGTGGTGTCACGGATTTCACATGATAGGATGAATTTTTGTCCCACGTCTGCTTGGGACCGAGTACAAATTAAGACTTGACTTCTGGAGTCGAGTTGGGACCGGACCGTACTTTTCACATCCCTATGAATATTATGCTTATAGAAGTTTGTCTGATTGGGTTAGTGCAAATCAATTGTGTGAGTAACTTATATATTTATACTAGAGTTCCATGCCAGGCACATTGGGTACAGGCACAAAAGTGCCAGACACTCCTAAAATGTCAAGCACTGAAATGTCCGTAGTAATTAATACCTTAGCCATGGCGAAAAAAATAACTTCCCAGAGTCGCCACCAAAATACTAACAAAATGTCAGAACAAACGTTCGTTTTCAAAAAATCTCTTTTTACTCAAAAATTTGCTTAAGAAACCGCTTTTCATACTCTAACAAAAAAAAATTCCTTGGAATTTACTATATGCCAGTTCTTTTCTAACCCTTAATTTAACCCCAATACTAACATAAACGAACTCTAAAGAATTTTGTGGATATCACGTGATCGAAAAATTTTGGTGGCGATGCTGGGGAGAAAACTTACGTTTTTGAGACTCCTGCACTTACTTGTTTGATACTCCTAAATGTACCCATACTGATATCACGTGCAGATAGTGTTCCTAGTTGGTAAAAATTTTGCCAGTCGATTAGTTGCCAACTATAATTGCAACTAATCGATTTTTCATATCATGTAACTAAATTTACCGATTAACCAATCAAACTAAAGAAATCTACACGGATTAGCCCGACTAGACGGAATATTTCGGAATTGAAGGATAATCGATAAATTTTTCTAAATCGGTTAGTTGAAAAGTTGTCAACTATATAGTTGATTTTCAACTAAACGATTTGAAAAAGTACCATTACACAAATTTTTTATATTATTTACAATAGAATTGATAGAATTGTCAATCCAAATTATAAACATTTTTTGCAATTAACGTTTATATTGCCTAAAATTTTTGGAGATTACTTATCGAAAACATAACTTTCATATAATCGTTGAGATCGCACGTTTCACTAGAAGCGACCTGAACAAAACTAGCATACTATATAAAGTTAGTACATTAAGCTACTTTACTTCTTAACGCCAAATAAACAATAATTAACATTTCTTTTAGGTAAAAGTTTTAACTTTCACGTGAGCAAGTATATTATGCGATAAGATAGTGATTACGTTGGCCTGCAACGATAACTTTTACAAAAGAACGTCCTTTTAATGTTAGCCAATCAGAATTTTCCTAATCAACCAATCAAAACAACTTCAACTATGTTCCTTAACTATAATTTTAATTTACAAAAAATGTTCGTATAATGAATATTATATTATAATATTTTTTTAAAGAACAGTCCACATAGGCTTGATAAATAACTTGCTTGCGTGGTCCACGAATAAAATTTAAAACGTTTAGCACGTCTAATTATATCTTTATTTTTTAAACTTTTTAGTTTCGGCCTGGTTGCGCAGGTCTTTAACAAAGATTGCCAATATATATATTTTTTAAACCGATATTTAAATGATGAGTTTTTCTTTAAAAAAAAACCTCTATTCGCGCAATAGATGTTTTAAATATATTATTGTATCAGCGTTTCTTTTAAAAATCTTTTAGCGTAAAATTGAAGTTAGTTTATTTAAGATCGCACTTACATTAGCACTCAATTTTTAGAAAAAAATCTCAAAAAGGTGATTTCTTATATGGATTTTGAATAGTGTTCCAAATCGTTAGTTGAAAAACCAACTAGTTGCCAACTTTCCAACTAGTCGATTTGAAAAAA